AGCATCCGACCAATGAACCTGCTTTGTGTGTGTACTCGTCAATTAATCAGTGTATGGTATGAAATGAAATAGCACTGCTATATTAGGGTGAATGTCAACATCTCGCTTGATTGTTTATTTAAGTAGGCACTTAGCATGAGCCTGTTTGGTAGTAGGCTTCCTCATTGGCCCCCATTCCAATTGTTTTCTGAGTCCAGTTGCTCAGTGTTTGCAATTGTAGATGATACTTATCTATCCTGAATAATTTACATCGAATCTTTTCTAATCCTTTTCAGTTTGTTCTCGTCATGCCCTTTGTTGTAATTGTGTCCTAACTTTGAATTTTGTTTTTACAGAGTGAAAGATCATGGTATCTACCGTATGTGGATCAGTGCTGGCTGTTCCAGGTAAAGTACTCTATCCATTGTAAACGTTTACACATTGTCTCGCCTGGGAAAAAAAGAGAAATAATTGCATATGAATTGAATTAGAATGTTCTATAACAAAAGTCTCAGTTGTCAGAAAATAAAAATTCTGTTACCTCACAGTAATTTCATTCTCACTTTCTCAAACAATTTTTTATTTCAGTTAAGGTCGACTTTTTTCACGGACCAAGAGGGTGGCAAGAGCATTTTCTGGACAGTGACCATGGATTTTATGGACAAACAAGCTTCGCTCGGGTTATTTACTTTACTTGGATCAAATTAACTTGGAAGCACAAGAGAAACCAGAGTCAAAAGAAAAATGACTCTTCATGTAAAAATTGGAGCCTCAATAGTCCAGCCCACTCCGTCATTGTAACAACTTTAATATGATATCATCTTTGTTGTTGTCATGCAACTATAAAACTGAAAATTTCTTTTGAAGAAGGATGTATTTGGTAAAAGCTCAAGGATTTTTCGTATTCTTTCCCCTAAACTCGGCTTCCAATGTATAGACCAAGCAATGGCTCCCATGTCTTTGAAGTTCATGAAGTTTGTACGGTATATGGTTTGATGTAAATGGCATCACATGTTTGTGAATTGTATAGTTATGTCCAAAACAAGTACTTGAATGTCATCCTACGTTTCGAGCAAGCACACAATAATATCATAACAAACTTTATTGTTGGAGAAGTATAAGTTTCAAGTCACATTATAGCGTCGCTTTCCTTGATGTTATGAGCATTCTATTAGTCTGGTAAAAACATCTCCAAGATATAATACCACAAACTATAGTATAGTAGGACATATAAACCGAATCACGAGGGGAAAAGAAACATTTATAGAAAACCTCTTTTGTTCACTGAACTATACACCGTGTTAACAGCAAGTGAGATACATGAGATGAATAGCATGTCCAAAGATGGGCAAAGACAATCAGTCAAGCATTATGACAAAGACAAAAATACGCTTGTGATTCAAAAAGGTATTATGAGATTACATTTCATCCATTCCGTATGGTCTCTCGTGTAAATTTTCCATTTATTTTGTGCTAATAGTTTCTGGTTTTGTAAAATTATCACTCACTCAATGCTATGCATTTCCATGGGTTGCTAGTCAATAACTTTGCAATGACTTGTGATGGGAGCAATGATGGCTAAAGTAAAGTGTAACTATTGTGTGTGAGAGCTTTGAAATTAATGTTCCTAACGTTAGAAATCAGAAAGGCATGCTATCCTAAAAACTATACCATCATTTTACGCACTGCATTAACGTTCATTCAATCAGTGTCTGATCCAGATTTAATGTTGCCAGGAAGCATTTTCAGGAAATTTAAGGAACCCTTTCACAATTCATTACGAAAACAAAATCATAAGAGAAATATGACAGTTATTTTATCCTCATTGTAAATCATCAATCACGACATTGTTTCCTTCTCAAATTATTTCTTAGTTACATGATAATAACGTGCAGCTCCTGCATCACTCTGAGAACTCTGCTTTAACAGCCACAGTAGTAGTGATGAACCAAGAAGCAATTAAGAATATCGATTCTCTTTTTCTCGTAAACAATTAGAAAATGCTGAAACTCATCAAGATATCAAAAGTTATATCGAACATTTTGGGAGAGACGTTCACAAGGATATTGAATCACTCAGTTAGGCTTCTCTTGGTTTCACTTGTCAAATAATTCTCTCTTTATTTTAGTGATCAAAACCTCATTGGAGATACTTTCACCTCATTTTGACTCTTCAAAAATAATTATCAGTTCATAATCCATTATTGCTTGATTTGGATGTTTACTAAAGTCATTGTTGATTATTTTCACTCTTTATTGTTGACTCGGGCATTTGTTGTAGTGCTATGGACTGATGATATTTTTCAGTCACTAAGAAATATTGAAAAGTCAAAAAGTAAAAATTGTTTAATTTCCCATTTGATGAACCTTTTTTTGTAAGGAATCCCATAGTTAGGTAGGTATTCGCTTAAATTTTTGAATTTTCGTTTCCAATAATTCTATTTTTCAGTAATAACTAAACGATTATGTTAATGAATTTACTTAACAGACAGAAATTGTCTCTAAATACAGTAATTTTTTTATTTTTTTTGGGCCTTTGATACTCGACCTTCAATTTTATTAAGATTTAGATCCCCATTAGTGAATTTTGCACAAATTGACGTGAGTTAATTGTCTCAATGGTCACTGAACTTATGTCTATATCTTCGATTGCTCATTGGAATTTAAAATGTCGAGTTTTGACCATTAAACTTATCAAAACGTTGGACGTTACTTATTGCCTTTACATCCGTTCCAAATCTTTAATGCAATTAGTGGCGGGCCAGCGGAATGTACATGAGATGTCTCGTTACACTGTTAACAAATGTCTCGTTTTTGATTACTCACTAAACTCTAAAAAACATTTTCGATTGCTCATTAAATTTTGAAAAATGTCTTCAATTACTCACTAAACTTTGGAAAACGTCTTTAATTGCTCACTAAATTTTAAAGTTGTCGAATTTTGGCCACTAAACTTATAAAAATGACATCGACATGTTTGTTAAAAAATATATACCACAATCATATGGATCGCTTAAAAGTAATAAAGTAGACAAACGAGTTAGGATTGTCGATTCCACGAGAAATGATTACTCAAGTACATAATAGTTAAATTTAATTTTAACATAATTTAGTAGAATTTTAAACTATTTTCATCATTTCAAAAATTCGAATTTATTGTGTGTTTCATTGTTAAAATTATATAAATATTTGGTTTTTGCAACGGTTTATATACTAAATTTAATTAAATGGATTTTATAGTGAAACACCCAATAAATTTACATTTTAAATTTAGTTTAATGGATTTTACAACGAAACACACAAATGATGAATATAAATTAAAATTCTACAAAGTAGATTAAAATTAAATTTAAATATTGTGTAATCAAGTAATCATTTCTCGTATAATCGACAATCCACACTTGTTTGTCCGCTTTATTATTTTTATGGCACTCGTGGGACTGCGATACATATTTTTTAATGAACAATAGGTTAATGTCATTTTTATAAATTTAGTGGCCAAAATTCGACCAACTTAAATTTAGTTAGCAATTGAAGATGTTTTTCAAAGTTTAGTGAACAATCGAAAACGTTTTTCAAAATTTAGTAAGCAATTGAAAACGTGACAATTTGCTAACTGTGTGATGAGACTACATCACTAATTCCGTTAATGATTTGGAACGGATATTAAGGTAGTGAGTAACATCCAACATTTTGATAAGTTTAATAATCAAAACTCGACATCTTAAATTTCAGTGAGTAATCGAAAATATAGACATAAGTTCAGTGATCATTGAGACAATTAATTCAATTGTCGTTAATCAAGTGACAAAACAATATATATATATATATAATATACAGAAATGATCTAATGAGCACCGGTGCTCCTTTTATCTTAAGTATCAATGAGTTGGCACATTAATTTATTGGTGGATTGGAACTCACAAAATCTTTATCTACCAATGAATTAATGTGTCAACTCATCGGTGCTTAGGATAAGATGAGCACCGGTGCTCATTAGATCATTTCTGTATCATTCAATATTATAACTATATTTTTAATTTTATAATAAGACTTAAGAAGAGAGGAAAACTGGATCGTGTAANATATATATATATATATATATTCTCCCAAATTTTGCCATTTGTTTCACCAAAGCTCATCTCCTGAGCTGGAATAAGATTGTAATATTCGTAATGCATCTCTCAGGACAAAAAAGGGCCTTGTCCTCTATATTTATAGCTCAGGCTCGGGTGGTTCTACCTGTAATTTACTACAAAATTGAGGTTATTTTATTGTAATAAGGCTCCAAGTGCATACTTCAGTTCTAATCCCTACGGGCAGAATCTACTGACAATTTAACAACTTCTTCACCTATAAAGCTACAATTTAATTAATTTTTTTTCCTCAATTTATTTGAATTTCTAGAGAGAGAAAGAGATTCCTTGAAGACCGACCAAGGCAATTGGTGGCATGGCTGTGATTTGAGCCTTTTGGCCAAGTGTTCACTTCTTGGTTAACCATGGTTTAATTACCCCAACTTTAACATAACCTCAAGGGTCTAACATAAACCCTTTACATACAAATTTAAGATAAATAATCCCACATTATTACACGCTTGGCATGTTCGACCGGACAAAAATAATACGGAGAGTCAGAGAGGCTCACATTAGATATTTGTAGAAGCTCGAACGGACAAAAATAATCCAAAAATGCATATATAAATTTGTCTATTGCGTTGTCCGTTAATTAAATACTCTATTGACTTTAGTTAAATCGTTTATGACATCTAATATTGCAAACCAAACACGAACGAAATATTTCCTCCTTTTCCTTTCTTATATAAACACTAAACCAAAGCTATTCATTATTGCCCTCTCACACACACTTTATTGGGTAAACAACTTTAGTTTACCAGAAAAGAAGCCTTTTCTGTTGATTCTACACCGACCCACCCATCTGTCTCTTCTAAGCACAAACATTTTCTACTGTGTCATTGCACTCGAGAGAGAGAGTAGAGTCTAGAGAGAGAAACCTTCAAAAATGAAGAGGCCCCCTCCTCCTCCTCCTTCACGTTCTTATTCATCTTCTTCTTCGTCTTCTTCTTGCATCAATTCACCAAAAACCCAAAAAAAATCAAAGCCTAAACGTGGCAGAGCCAAGAAAATTCAGAATGCTGCTGCTGATTCTGTTGTTTCTACTAAATCAAGAAGCTCCATTTTCAGAGGCGTCACCAGGTAATTAAATTTATATATATACACCTATACATACACTTGAATAGATGGAATAAACTGAATTTTTCACTTGCATGCAATTTCTATATATTAATCTTTGATTTTTGAAAATAAAATTAATTTTTTTACAGGCACAGATGGACAGGAAGGTTTGAAGCACACCTGTGGGATAAGAGTACATGGAACAGCATTCAGAACAAGAAAGGAAAACAAAGTTAGCATCTTTAATTTTTATTTGTTTTTCCTTTTTTGAATTAATAATAAAAAATTCAAGTGAAATCAAGGAGATCTGTGAACTTAGTTTTTTAATTTATAATCCTAGTTTAATTATTAATCATATCTTTTACAATAATTAATTATGTCATTTGCCTCTGAATTCTTGTTTTTCTGACTGTTGTGTTCTTGATGATGATCCCTGTCCACGCATTTGCCGCTTCACAGTCTATTTAGGTGAGTTCACAAGCTGCTTATAATTAATTTTCCGTTCTACTTTTGATTTTGTGTGTGTTTGATTATATAATTCTCTGTGCATGCAGAACTTTAGTCAAGAAAATTTAATCAATTGTACTATTTAGCGTTTAATCGTTGATGTTATTTTAATGTAGGTGCATATGACAACGAGGAATCTGCGGCTCGAACGTATGATCTAGCTGCCCTCAAGTATTGGGGTCCTGATACTCCCCTGAATTTTCCGGTAATCGACTTGGTTTATTATTTGTTATCGACCGTTTTATTTGAATTGACATCTGGCATTCGTTACCTTGTGCATCGTGTTTGAATGCACGAATGTGAATTTAGTGAATTGTCAACGTTACACGTGAGTCGAATGGGTCTATTCAAAGAATCATGTGTATTTAACGAATTTTAATTAGCATTCAATGACAATGCAGCTTGAGATGTACTCAACTGAGATTGAGGAAATGCAAAGATCGACCAAGGAAGAGTTCTTGGCTTCACTTCGTCGACAAAGTAGTGGATTTTCGAGAGGTGTTTCGAAGTACCGTGGTGTGGCAAGGTAACAAAATATTTCATGTGAACTTTGTATTCAAGTACAATTAGATTCTTAGTATATCTTGTGCTTTTTTTTTTTCATGCTTTGCACACAAAATGTGTTGAGTGGGACCCAATTTTATGTTCATTCTTTTGGTGGGTTTGTGGGATTTTTTTGGTGTGCAGACTGCAGAGGGTGGAAAAAACGTGACTTTCTTTGATGTCAAATATTTCTACCAGAAAAAAAAAGCTTGACCATTTCTTTTTGTTGGACTTTGACAGGCACCACCACAATGGTCGGTGGGAAGCTCGAATTGGACACGTTTCTGGAAATAAATATCTCTACTTGGGAACCTACAGTAAGTTTCGTTACTAATATACTTCTATTTGTGTGCGGATATATGATTGGCNTTTTTTTCCTTTGTTTTTTTTTTTTTTTTTTTTTTTTTTTTTTTCATCTTTTTGCACAGTAAATTTTAATTAGATTTATTACATTATATAGAAACATATATTTATGATTTATTAAATATTTGTCGACTGTATTTGTAAAACATATAAACTTTTTAAGAAATAAATCATATTTTATAGCTTCAGTATTTATAATTTTTTTTTAATAACCGTGGATGTTTGGGCCAGCTTGTGTGCACCTCGACTAATTCCACGGGGCCCTGAAGTTTACAACCAGATACTCATCTCAGTGGCCCTGAGGAGACTCGAACTGGTGACCATTGGGGAGCAAATCCAAGGCCTGACCAATTGAGCAACCCCTCAGGGTTATAGCTTCAGTATTTATAATGATAAATAAAGGAGTAAAATGAGAAATAAAAATGAGATAAGCTGACTGGGTTTAGATCTTGACTTAGACAATCTCTGATGCCCTTACAAAATGATAGTTTTTCTTTATAAAATTGGAACATTCCCCCTTATTCCCGTAGATTTCACTTTATTTATTTGGACATCAATTGACCAAAACCAATCCCCTAAAAGAGCCAAGTAAATTTCGTGGACCGCATCTGGCTCGATCCCGCTAGTAAACCGGTGGCATCCTGTCCTCAGAGATCAGGCTCTCAAGGTCTCGGCTATAGAAGTTAGACTGACTCAACCCACTTTACAACCTTAGGCTCGGAAATTAGTAACATGAGTAGGAGAAACGGGCTTAAGCCTTTGATTTCTTAAGATATGCTTTAAACTTGATTAGATTAAAATATTCTGCAGATTTCATCTTAATTAATTTATAGTTCCTTCAATATCTTGGCTCGTGATATTGTCAGATAATTTAGTTCTTTTATCAGATTGTTCAGTTTAGTTTGTATAATAATATAACTCATATTCAAACACTTGCTATAGATTGCAATTTCAGATCTAGTCATTATGCTACCATCACTATAAAGGGCAAGTCCATCATTTTATAAATTCCGAGATATTTGTTATCAACTTTTCCGTCTTGATCCTCCTAAGTAACGCTTGAGAAGGTTTGTGTATTGCTTGGTTGTGTGGTAAGGTAGATTGTATGACATCAGATAGTATCTATTTATCGTAATTTTTTGTGCTAACATAGCTTTTTGAGTTCAAAGTTCGGCATCTATATATATCTGGCCTTGTCTAAATCAATGTTCGAGGTAGTAAAAGACCTATAGAACCCTTTGGATCACTTCTAGATTTCTTTGTGTTGTTGCTATCGTCATCGTACTTTGCATGGAAAACATGATTTATAATGTTCGTGAATTATTAAGATTCCGATTTATATGCTTGAAGTATACATTGTTTTGGTTCTTTCTCAAGGCACACAAGAGGAAGCTGCAGCAGCATATGATATGGCAGCAATAGAGTTCAGGGGGCCTAATGCTGTTACCAACTTCGACATTAGCAAATATACAGACAAGTTGAAAAAATTCATACCAGAGGATGAAGTAAAACAGGAAGACGTCCAAGTAATGAATCAAGAAACTCAAGAGCTCGTCCCTCAAACGCAAGGAGACGAAACAATCAATCATCAACACCATCAACAAGAGGAATTCAATCAAATGGTTCAACAAAGTGTCCCAAAGTTAGAGTTGATTGATTCCATCGACTCGGATGTAATGATGATGCTGGACCCCACCAAGGATATCGAGCACCACCCTTGGGATGACATGTGCTTAGACTTAGACCTCAATTCGCTTCAAATTCCCAACATTCCTCTCGATAAACCAAACGAGTTGCTGGGATTGTTTGATGACAAAGGCTTCGAGGATAATATTGATCTCATTTTTGACGATTCTTTTAATGAGAACGAGTTTCACCAGGATGCAATGTCCGGAACTACTGCTGGAAGTAAAGATGTTGAGGCAGATATTTTGGTAGATCGAGCCGAGAAGGGGCAGGATGCATCATTAACATCTTCTTCTCCACCATCAACAACAACATCAGTTGGTAGCAACATCTGGTAGTATTGTAAGAATTTTTCAGGTTCAGTTCAGGAAACTTCTTATGTGTGCTTTACTATTATCAAACTTTCGGAATTAAACTTTTTTTTTTGGTATTACTTATACATGATTGGTTAAGAGTTATTATGTGTAGAATCAAATTAGTTTCATGTTTTTAGTATTCTGATTTTCTTTTTTACATTTTTATCTTTTTCATTTTTATTGTGCACGTGTACTAATGTGCGGAACCACCTTTGATTCACTTCAATATTGTGCGTGTACTAATGAGTGTAAACATCTTTGATTAACTTCCTCACAGTGTGCAAGTCAAGTGCGTGCACATGTTTTTTCTTTGTTTTCAGAGGCTGAAAAGAGAGAGCACCTGGAAACATAGACGAAGCGCATCATCTCCCTTTGAGTATTTGAGACTCGAAAAGCCCCCAATAATTTCTCTCATGTCGACAGCCCGTCCCGGTTATTGTCAAACAGGTCGAAGAAACGTGGGGCTAGACTCTAGAGGAACCATTGCTTTCAGCACGTTATTGCCATTTTTACATCTGCACTTCGCCAAAGGAAAATCAGAATGTGTGCTTTGAATGGAAAGTAACTTCTAAGCACAATTAAACACGCTTAGGAGAATATGCATTGGTTGCTTACATTTTCTTGAAATGTATGCTGAGTTTCTCCAGTTCCTCTGGCTTAAGATCATAGGAACCTACCAAATTCTTTAGCTTTTATGTTCTCAAAGAAAAGCTGCTGCTCAACACACTTGCCATTGCAGCAGCATGAAACTTACTCCTTGCGTTAAAACTCTGCAATCTTGAAACTATCTCAGCATCCATCTGATCTTGCTTCGCTAAATCCCCGGTCACCCATGGATGTCGAAGAATCTATAAGAAATCAAAAAAGAACTGTGATCATCCTAGTGCTATATGGTAAGATAGATTATAATTGAAAAACTCGAACTAGAAAGTGATTTGTTTTCAGGATCATTTTAGGTTAAGTTAGGTGAATATAATGACTGAACTTGTTTGAGGATCATTTCAGGATCATTTTACAGATGATGAAATATTCTTCCACGTTTTCTCATAAAAGCTGAATTGTCCCTGCATGAAAGAATTTTGCATTTTTATTAGATGTAGGCATGTAAAGCTTAGCTGCGAACGAGAAGATAATTGTATTTCATGCTATAATATATGGCATGTTGGTATGCTTGACTCGACAAAATTGAACAGGACAATTCATGTTCCTTAATCTTTGTCTACTTACGTACCAAACATACCCTAAATGGAGGTTTTTAAACATAAATTTGGCACCTGAGAATTTGAAATTATAAATGTTCTTATTATTCCACATTTCACGATTTATTTCACAAAACATAGAAAGCAAAATTTTATATTGGTCGCTAAACATAAACTATGTCGTTGCTAAATTTAAAACTTTGTTACAATTTGATCATTCCATCCATATTTATTAGTTTTGAGTAATGAAATATGTGACTTAGTTGACAAATAATTAGGCTACAACATCAATTTTTTTTTTCCATTAGTTAAAGAAAATAAGTGAATAGAGTGATCATACCATAAGAAAGTTAATTTCAACAACTTTCTTGACTTGCTACGAGCTCAAGGGGAGGTATCCTAGTATAAAATATATTAAAAGAGAATTTGATCCTGAATGCCAAGTGAAGAAAGATCCCTCCTTTATATAGGGGGAATTACAACTATCAACCTCATTGGTCATGGATAGTAATCGATCTCAATTCGTGTCACTTATCATGTCAAGGAATTTCGATTCATGGATCAGGCCGGTGATGGTGGAACAATGATTACCTAGGTTGTAGGTTTGCTACCTATCCTCCTTATTGGTGGGTTTGGACGGTTGGGAGATAAATCTTTTAACCTTACATGATTGTGGTTTGATTAGGGCTCATTACTCTCCTTAAATGGTTAATTAGCCAAACTCATGAGCTCAACATGACTTGAAGCGATGAATCAAACTCAATAGTTGAGGTCTTACAAAGTGGGATTGTCGAATTTTTTTGATTTTCGAGATGGACACGTGACGGTTGATGTTATAGATGGGCGATGGTCAATTAGGAGCATTTCAATCGACAACAGATTTCAGGGGTCAATGGAGACTGAATCAAACATCAAATACTCTTGAACGAAGTTTTGATCACACAGTAGCTAAAACCTCTTAATTGTGTTGTTTTCTCATCAAAGACCGCCAAATTCACAAAAAATAAAATAAAATAATTGAAAATAATAATAATAATCGTCATCGTCGTTGTCATCATCATCATCTGGACAAGAATTGACCTAATCCAGTAAAATAGCGATTAAAAAAACCCGGAGAGGAGAATATATAGAATTACAAGAAGCGACCATGTATCACTTTTGTGAGTGATCTTGCTGCGGGAAAGCGCCTCCGGCGAAACATAATCAATTGAACCAAACAATCGCACCACCGGATCAGTAAAATCCTCCACAGAACTCAATCCAAAATCCATGATTTTCAATGGAGAATTCTCATCTTTGTTCAAAAACAAAGAGTTCTCGGTATTCACTGTATTCCTCCGCCACAAGTAAGTTTATTAATAAGAGTAAGTCGCTACCTCAAATCACGGTCACAATTTGCCTAACTACCGCCGCCGCTCCAGCTTCATTAAATCCCACATTAGTTAAATACAGATGAACAATTTGATCAGTCTAAAATTCAAACGAGCACAAGATTAATTAATTAATAATACCTTGCCTGAGCCACAATTCTGTCAAATAGTTCACCCCAGAAGTCCAGAACAAAGCTCCAAAATCAAATGAACGCCACCACTGTCTTCACAGACATCATGAAGATGAATTACATTTGTATGTGGAGAAACATCTTCAACAATTTTCCTCATCACTAAAAGTTCATTAGTTAACAAAGCATTGGAAATCAAAGCCTGATTTGAATTTTTCGAATTTCTGGATCCTGGAGAAGGCATAAATGGGCCAAATCTTCTCAAAGTTTTAATCGCGACTCTTGTATTTCCTTCACTGCATTTCTGAATCCCTTTTCGTACAACTGAAAATCCTCCCCTGCCCAGAACTTCACTCACTTCGTATTCATCAGTGAGTGATTTTCTTGTATCCCGTCCCATGAAAATAAAACAATTTTGGATGAAAATTGCTGGTTTGGGTCAACAATGAAGAAGAATCATGAGAAGAAGATGGTTTGAATTATAAGAAAGTGAAAGTAATACACAGATTTGCATCACCAAATCCAACTGTTTTTTATTAGTTTATTGCATAAAATGTATATAGGACGCGGATATGGCACTGGAGATGTATACAAAAAGAAAGAGCCAACGAAGAAGAGACAAAATGACAAAGTCAAAAAAACTATTTCTTCTGATTTTACTTGTATAATTTGCTTGATTTCTTATGAAATATGATTCAAGGGTTGTTTGATCAAATTTTTAACGAGTTTTGATAAAAATTGATTAATAAATTTATAAATAATTAAAATTAATTGTTAACTTTAACCTTAATCATAACTAGTACAAAATTAGTATTTAAATTATGTTACTCAATTTATTTAATATTTTCTTAATTCATAAGTTGATGGATAAATAATGCGGCATAAACCCAAACCCACATACTACATAATAGCATATTAATTTTATCCAATATGTAAAATATCACTTCCCAAATTGTGGTATAGAGCAGAAGATCAATCATTGAGCGGAAGATATATAATATGGACAGAAATAAACAAAAAAGTTGCATGTATTATATTTCAAGAAAACCATGGCAATCCTTATTTATCTTTACCATTTCAAAAGCATTATAGGAGAAGGGAGCTCTTCCAAAGCTCCTTTATCTTTATCCAGTGCTAGAATACAGACAAGCTCAAAATATAGTGAGCATTCAGACACAGATCCGTTACTTCAATATCTACACTGCAGTTCAAGGATAAAGCTTAACCTAATTACTACTGGTGAAAACATTCCGGTTTTAGACGAACCACAGAGAGTCATCCTCCCTTGATAATGGGTCCATGGAGTAGTCAACTTGTGTGAAGTTGAAAGGTGAACCAAACCTGAAATCAGAAATATTCTCGTTTGCATTGCCATTGGAAGGGGAACTGTATGAAGGTTTGCACCCATCGAACTGGAGTTCTGTTGGTGGGAAAGCAGAATTATTCAAGGGCATGCTAGTCTGTGTAATGAAGTACTCATCTTGTTGAACTTGTGTCGCTTGCTGCTGCGAATTTTGAGTTTCTAGAATGTTGAGATTCCCAGCGTCGAAGCTACTGTTTTGCTGAAGATTGTTATCGTAGAATGACAGAAGCTCAGAAATAATCCTTTGGTCATCTTCGGGAATTCCAAGGCCGGAAACATCCACATTTGCCGGCAGGGAAAATGCCTCCTTTTGTGCAGAAGGGATGGAGAATCCCGATGGCTTGTCATTGTTATTTTGATAGCTTGGTGTGTTAAGCCTCTCAAAAGAATTGGAACGGTATGGACAATTCATCTGGTGATTGTTTCTCCATGTCCGGTCGTTAAATCCCATACGGTGATCACTGTGGGGGCATTGAGGAAACTCACACGTAAACATCTTCTGATCATTGTGCACTTCATTAGTTATCTGTTTCCTCTTCGGAATAAAATCCAAATCAACGTCAAAAATCTCTCCCTTGATCGGAGCTAAGAGAGGCATCATGTGCTCATCCCTAGGTGCAGCTGTCCCCAAGTTGAAAAGCTTCGTATCACAGGGCTTACATTCCACTTCAATGTTACCATCATCTTCCACTCCTTCAACATCATAGTCACTGGTATCACTGATTAAATACGACCCACTCCCACCAGCCAAGGATGGTGGTGGAATGCTGTCAGGATATAGTTTTCTGGATAAAGCCTCCTCTTGGTTAATAATAGCAAGCCAAGTTGCACTTTCCTTAGCTGTCATCTTATCCTGTAGGCATTTGGACTGCCGGACAAGTTTGCGGATCTTGGCAATGTCAGGGGACATGTGTTTGATCACGGCTGTGAGAACGCTGACTTTCCAGGCCTTTTTCAAATCATGAGGCTTCTTGTACGGAGGTGGCCCTTGATCGGTTGGCAAATCCAATTGAGAACACCATTCCTCTTTTCCAGTAGGCCACCAAGGCGGGGGAACACCCTTCTCCAGAGGGAATCGCCTCTGAGGGGGGTTGCAGTGTTGCATCAGAGCCGACAAAAGTGAGCCGAGCGTAGTGTCCTGGAGCTCTTGCAGCGTGTGAGTCGAGGATGCTATACTTGCTTCCTCAACTTTCCCTGGGATTGAATTCTCTGCCTGGTATTTGGCAATTGCAGCTGGACCATTTCGATCAAACCTAACTTTTTCCTTCCACCATGAGCGAAGATTATCAGATGCTCCTGTTACAGGTTTGCCTTTCTCGGGGATGATTCCATACACAAAACCCTGAGCTTTACAAACCTCCATCATCTTCAGCATGTATTTCAGGATTCCATCTTGTGCCCGAGACATTTTCTTCCGCCGCGCTTGCTCCTGAGACTGACGCAGCTTCGCATTATCATCAACTGTCTCCTTGTTCTTCTTCTGCTCCTTAAGTCGCCTTAAAAGCATTCGATCCCTCCACATCCTTCTTTCTAGTTCATCGACATCCATCTCCTCATCGCTACAATCTTCCTCAACCTGAATCACTGGTTCAACTTCCGAAGCTACTTCCCCTTTCCCCGGAAGAGTAGCGAGGAAATCAAGATTACCACAGAAACCCATTTCTTCAAATATACTCATTTAGCCAAGTCACGGATTTCCAAAATACGCATCAATCAAAAGTAGAATTATCTTCTCTCTCTCCCCCTCTTAGAAGGGCAAGATCTATTTGTCCACAGCTATTACTATGTCAATTTTAGAATTTCTGCCACTAACAAATCAAGACTAAGCCTTCAAAATCTCATCTTTTCTGGATTCGGAAAAAACAGAGAAAAATCAATCAAAAAGATTTTCATAGATCATAACATATGAAAAATCTAAATCTCCACAGCCACAATTGTAATCTGTAAAAGTTATTAAACCTACGCCCTGGGTTCCTGTGTTCTTGATTTACTATTTAAGGTTAGAAAATAAAAAATAATTTATTAATTTAATATAATAAATAGAAAATCTAAGATCAAACTTCTGCCAACTATGATCTCAAAGATCCAGCTTAAAATCTTCCTATTTTCACAGATCTACACAACTTTAGAGGAAAAAACAATTTTTATATCCTCAATAAACACAAAAAACAGAAATCAAATCTCACATATAAAAACTGCCAATCAAACTAAATCTCACAAAGGAAGTTTTTCTTTTCTTGCATACAACACATCTAAAATATTATAGACAACATAAAAATCAAAACACTCGGGATTTGTACAGTATAATTCAAAATCAAAACTTTCAATTAAAAGGAAAAGAATTAAGAAATCAAATTACCAGCCCTTTGTTTCTCCTCGCCTTGTTTGTGGCTCAGATTTGTTAATTTACTAAAGGTCAGATGAGAAGAGAGGATAAGAAGAAAAAAGAAAGAGAACGTGGAAAAAAGGAAGAGAAGCTTCCAAGAAGTGGGCAAGTGGGGTAAGCTATGCAAGCTGTCCCAAATTTACGTTATTTACATGCAAAGGACAAAACTAAAGTATATCATAATCACCCATATGCTTTTCACTCTCTATTTATAGAAAATGTGAAATAGAATATGGTGATCTCTTGCATTTTTCTTCTTATAGGGATGTCAAGTAAGGGAGAAGAAAAAACTATAGAAAAGTTGTAGCATATTATAAGTTTGGGCTTCAATATACAATTTATGCTCTTATAAATAATTTTTAATAAATTAAAAATCTGCAATAATTCAAAGTAATTGTTGAAAAAATTAATTTTTATTATCGCATGACATGACGTGATTTGCACGAGGCCACCGCCATAATTTAGCCCAAGTTTGAGTCGCATTAAAATTTTCATTCTAATTCTTTTAGTCATTTTCAACCACACATTCTTCAATAAAATAATATTTTCCATCACATCAATAGTCTTTCCTTATTTTTTAACCACATATTTTCCAGCATATCATTATTTAAAGTACATTCTTTTTTCAATAATATCCATCAAATACACCTTAAATTCATTGTCTCAATTCGAAAATCTACTCCATTTGTTAAAGAAAAGTAATCATCCATGTCCTTTTTTTCCACACACAATAGTAAAGATACATAGGAAATTGAACGTAGTTATAGATGAGTGAACATAGTAGAGCCGTCGATTTTGACAAAAATTGATAGGATCAACAAAATTCAACTTCAAATGATTCAATTCCAAGATCTAGTCCATTCATTCTATATATGTAACGACAATATAAACGTGATTGAATATATATTTCTAATTATTCAATAAATTTGTTGAAAACTATTGCTCATCATTTTACGAATTACGTGACACAATTTATTTGCAAGATAACGAGTTCTTGATTTAATATGATTGAGTGAATCTAATTGAGTTAGACGTAATTTAAATAAGAATGAGTAAATCTTATCGAGTTGTTGATTATTATGAAAATCAAAGAAGATGCATAAATTTAATTTCAAATTACTTGATTTGAATTTTAAGACCTTAGTCTATTCCTTCCAATTACGTAAGTATTCCTATCCTTTCCCTTTATCCTCAACAAATGGAAAAGAACCGATGAAATTTATTATTACATGTATTTAAACATGAACAAGTGAATATTATAGAATCATTGATTTTGTTGAAAATCAACGTGGTCTACTGAATTTAACTTTGATTGATTCTATTCGGATATTAACTACATTCTCGTCACATTTCTCAAAAAATGAGAAAGAACAAGAGGAAATGTGTCGACAAACGTAACTCAAATATGATTCAGTAAAGTACACTATAACCCCTTTTTTTCTCACCCCATTGTAATTTCTCCAACTTAGTATGTAATTTCTTCAACTTGCTTTCATTCTTCTGTACATTTTCAATTTTATTCTTGGCGCTAACCTTTTACACCATCAGTAGCAATTCAAAATGCTTTTCCTATTACTGATAGTATTAGAGATAATGAACTCCAGTAATCGGTGACCCTTGTCCCTACTCTTTGCATCTGGAGGAAGAAAACCAAAAATGGTCGAACCATCACTTGTTATTAATTTATAACCACCAACCAAAATCCAATTGTCATCAATGCCTATGCACAATTTCATGTAAAATTACATTCTAGATTTTTCCTCAATTACAGAATTACTTCCTTCCAGTTTCTATACGAACCTCAGCACACTTGTAAATATTTTAAGGCAAGAATAGAGATAATCGACAAATGATATAAGAGAGAAAACATACAATCTTTTTACAGAACTACGCTCTAATTACTCGTCTTTACAAGTTCTCACTTATTCTCATACTTACTTAGCTGACTCTAACTTGGATGATTAGGCAAAAATATGATTTTCTCAATCAGTTAGATAGATGTGGCATCATAGGGTGTAGACACCTCTATGTACATAAATTATGTACACATAGCGTTTCAGCAAGTCTTCAAAATTAGAAGAAACCTCTTTCAATGTTCTTCCACATTAACTCTCAAGACTTGGTATTTTCCACAAGGTTCTGCAAAGTTTAAGAAAATTTCATAACCCCCTTTAAAGATCCTCCAAACGTGTAGGTTGCCTGCCTATATTTTCGACTAGCCATTGCGTCAGATTATATTTCCAGTGTTCTGCTTCGGCTGTACTGGTTCAACTAAGGTTGTGTCACTGCAACCCTCAAACCCTTTGTGTCCTACATGCTCTACTGCTCGTTTAGCTTTCATCTTGTGCCTTCGACCTCTCATTGTGGCATTGCAGGCTTGCAGCACTCAGCCTTCATCCCCCTTCATGCAGCCACCTCATCATTCAACCTTTAGTCCCTTGCCTTGGCATACTTTAACATTTTTTTCTTTCGAAAGGGGTTGGATTTACTTGTATCCCAGTGGACGTGTCAATGAAAGTGCATATTGAAAATCATGTCCAACTAATTTAATCTCAACCTTAGCATACATATTTATTTGACTCTCAAGAGACTTGTCCTGTTTCTGGGCCAAATTAGTGAACTTAGGTTAGGAAAATCCAATTTAAGTTTCAAATATACCTCAAGACAATCATTCGAGAAAATATCAAGAAGACAACAACAACAATAATAATAATAATAATAATATAAAACAACATTATAATGATATAATCAAAATCGAAGAAAATTGGTCAGGCTTTGAGTTTGCTCCCCAATGGTCATCAGTTCGAATCCTCTCAAAATCATTGAAGTGAGTACCCGGCCGTAAACTTCAAGGTACCATGGGATTAGTCGAGGTGTGCGCAAGTTGATCTGGACATCCACGATTATAAAAAAAGATCGAAGAAAAACTACATATTGTTAATTCTTCCACATGAAAAATTGTTACAATCATACAATATTATTCACACACTGAAACTCCCAATTACGACGAAGAAAACTCACTAAATTTTATCCTCAGAGAAATCATTTTGAATGTTATGCCATTGTTTTCCACTCTTCCTTGGTATGTTCTAACAATGGGCAAACACCCCTATATTTATAGTGCAAGAATGCCTACCAATTTGCACCATTTTCGCATGCAAGTTTTACCACAATCAACAAAGGATTGCAGTAGCTTGCAAGGTTTTCAAATTGACTTAAACACTTATCCAAAATATTCCTATTCCAACTACCCATAATATTGACTTTGTTGCCCGCATTTTACATGGAGTTGGCTGGTTATGAATCATATTTTCTCTAAAAGAGTTGACTTAAAATGATTTTTGCATGATATTTTGCTATATGTTCAAATGACCCAGCAAAAGTAGACTTCTCAAAATATATAGGCTGCAACTTTGAAGCCTAGAGAAAAGATGGTTCCGAAACCCATAATGGGACTAAACAATTGTGAACTCAAGGCCAAAAAGAACTTTGATTGAAATTTTGAATCTAGCATTCTCTGGGCCCAAAATGAAGAGAATTCATTGTGAAATTTCTAGTGCTTAGGTTACTGATCATTCTTTGCCTCAAGCAGAATTAACCACCAAATTCTGAAAGAATGTGAATTGATCTTCCGTGCCTAAATTTACAGAATATGGAACACTGAAGAAAGAAAAGGACAAGAGAAAGGACTATTGATTAGTGATTGAGAGTATCAAATTCTCGACATGAGCTAAAAGGGGACGTCGAAGGCCTTTGATCTTCCATCTCTTGCATGGATAGAGAGAGGCTATGCTTTCAAGTTTGTTCATGTTGCCAAACGATTAAACAATGCACAAGCGATTTTTTCACAAAAGAGAACGGCCCACCGAATGAGTAATTTTTCTCCCTAGTAGTGAAAAAGAGCGACACAACATGGCTAATATTTGACTCTTTAAAATTCTTTACATTGCATACCTATTCTAGCTCTGATTTGTGAGATGCACACTATTCAGCAGAATAATATCACCCTGTGCCAGAAAAATAAATAAATATAAGAACATTGCACAACTTGTTATGATAAAAACAAAAGCTAAAAGTTTGATTCACTACACTTTCAATGGTATTTACATACCAACATAGAACGTCAAAGCAATAACATATTTTTCATAAAACTCCCAACCGAATAGATGGCAGGACGAAGTCTTCGAGTATCACAAATCTGTCAAGCTAGTCCATTTGTTCCGCATGAAGAGGTAGTGGTCCGACCAGTCATGTGATGTAAGAAAAAATATTCCTGAGGCAAAATGTAAATTCAAGAATGTCACCACTTCCGTTGATAAGTTAACATGAAAGGCTTGATAGTTCATAGCTAAAGAAAACCAGTATAATATAAACATTACATCAAACTGCATGACAATTTTTACCACCAATAGTATATGAACATATTTTAGACTATGCAGAACCAAAGACAATGCCAATGTGGACACCAAACCTATTTAGTAACTGTGATACAAAAATTGAGCAAGAAATTTGAAACTGCCAGGAGCTAAAAGAATCAGATTTTTATAAATAACACAAATAATTTTAACATAAGCCCATGTAATCCAACCTCGTAAGTCGTAAAACATGACAAGCAAACACAACAGACTTTGCAAAATAATGATTACAATCAATGTTAAGGGAACAATTACAAGCTATGAAAAACCACAGAAAAGGCCATTGTGGACATGCAAACACATCCAGTGAATATTATGCACTGATTGAGCCAGAAACTGGAAACTACGATTGCGTAAAACAATCAGATTTCTATATATAACAATTAATTTGAACATATGCCAGAATAATCTAAACCTGTAAAACTGAAAAAGCAAACACAAGGGCTCCAAGGATTATGCAGCACGATTAACTTAACTCCAGAACGGAACACAGGTGAACAAATAAATACCAGGGAAAAACATATTAGAATCCATATCTTCAAAACACAAGAAAGTACTTGTTACTCTAAATACCAATATAGGTGCCACACATAATATAGTTGTAGAACAACACAGACACCAGGATAAGTTCCACCACACCTAGTTGAGCTACATAGGTACAAACTCAAACTACATAAATATTCACAAACTTCCTGATAAACATCAGAAATCCATAAAAAGTGCTTAACTCCTTTTAAAAACTAACATAACACTAGAAAGAAGACACAAACTTGCACATGAAAAAACTGAAGAACAGGTTAGGAAAAGCACCTTGTTACCCCTCGATTTTTTTAAATTGGAAGAGGGGGAGAGAGTGCCAGCATGAGTAATAGGAAGAGAAACGCCATTTCCCACTATTACGCAATCCTTACCATGATAGTGCTTGTTACCTCCCAAATTCAGAGGCTCCAAGTCAGCACTCCACGTGGACAGCCACGTACTCTCTGTAGCAAAGTGGACATAGAGCCAGTTAAAAAGTCAGCAGGAAAGTCAGCACAGTCAAGGACAACAAAGGATGCAACTGTCTGAGGTCGTGCGAGTGTCGTGCTATATTCGTCCAATGTCCCTTCCAGCTCAAGTAACGAAGGTCTGCCTAAAGCCCCTCAATGCAACTCAATGCAAAGGCAGAGGCTCCTCATGTCCGAAGTACTAAGGCACCGAAACTCAATCGCACCAGATGTCCATAAGCCCAAAGCTGACCTCAATGCATGCTAATACCGACGCTGCTTCCCAACGGATTCGGAGTTCTATTAGAACAGACTGATGGGACGTCTGTAATAAAGTGTCTGTAGCGTTAATGTGTCAGTGTCAGCCTACTACTAGCACGACTAACCCGTTGTCAAATATTGAATGTAATGAATGTACAGTGATTTGAAGCCTCGGTCTAGGAGATGTCGCTGCGTGGATCTGATCCAACGGTCCCCATGTCTGCTAGATTAGTATAAATAGCCACTCTTTGTACTTAAAAAGGGATGGTGCGATAAATAGAGGAAATAACATACTCGCATGCTTGGCTTTGTCTGATAAAATATAAGTGAAGAAGATATATTGACATTTCAACGATAAATTATACATTCTCATATCTATCCTTTCACAATTCCGTTGAAAAAGAGCAATTTAGTTAAGGAAAACGGATCGAGCATTTGTTGATAGCAAGCACGGTCTAAACCCAACCGTTGGAGCCTGAACATTTCTGTCTCTCGCCGAAAAGTACCTTCCGCGTCCAAACCAACCAGCTTACCGCTCATTTTCGGGTAAAAACGCTTCGGATCAGTGCTTGACGTGGTAAGAGTGGGCCCGGCATCTGTTGAGTTCATTTTTTGAGGTCAACACACCTTGTGGACCACAAAGATTAGTTCTTCAGCTACGGTCGAATTCGTACTTTAGCCAATTCATTCGTTCCTTAGGAGTTCTAATCGCAAAAAATATTTCACGATTTTCAGTGACCTTAAACATGTTTAGCACATTGCAGAAAAATGAACTTCCCTCTTCTATTCCTTTCATACTGTATAGAACCTTTATGCAGTCACTGGTAGAAGGAGTTGAATGTGCAGTAGCTGCTCTTATCACTGCCATATCCTTACACATCTTAACAAAATTGTCAATTGGTTCTGATAACTGCGACACGTCCGATATCATTTTCTTGGAGCCACTCTTGATTTCGTTTGACTTTATCTTACCATAGGTCCAAAACTAGAAGACCTGAATATTACTAGCTCATAAACCAATGCGGGCATGCTTTTATCGACATGGGCACGTTCACCGCTGTCACCAAAGCCTACATTATTGTTGACATTAGTGTCTTTGTACTCATCAACGACATGGGAACGTTGGCTGGGGGTAGGTGCATTATTTCCATGCTAGTTCTGGAAACAGTGTGTGGTTACAGAACCATATTAAAGATAAATCTTTGCCTCTGAATTTCTTATACTTCTCGTTAGCCTGCATGCACATAATTGACACGCTAATGTAGCTAAAAATTAATTTAGAAGTGCACTAAAATAATTATATTACCTTGATTTTCTGATTCCACCAGTTGTCGTCAGCTACAATTGTTTTCCATGCATCATCCCATCCAATTCCACTTTCTTCTTGCATCATTTGATTAAAAACTAACCATTTTCTTTTCATTACCTCCCATCGGTTCTTTAATTGGTGTCTATTGTAATAACGCCCAGTTTCTTGGTTGAAGTTTGCAATTAAATTATTCCACTTTATTGGCGAAAAATACGTTCCAACTCTATTTCCATTCTTTATCTCTTTTTCACATAACTCAACAAACTTCTGCTTTGCGTAAAAATCCCGTTTTGCGCTCATTCATTCTGTCGTTCTCGAGGTAGTCATCTACGATGAAATAAATAATTTTAACAGAGCAACAACAAAAGTTTTCAAGATTACAATTGAAATTGTAGCCAGATAAATCTCTGTGTTCTCCTTGACGTGTAGGGCGTTCCGGCTGCTCGGATCAGTGAATGCTACCTACAAAATGAGGTCGTGGCTTTCTTCCCTGTTGTATCTCCGACATGAGAATCAGTAGTTAGTTTAAGAAAGTAGGAAGATGGTATAATTGTAATTCAGACAGTTCAGGTTTCAAGATAGCCATACATTTCTCACCTTAGGGGTACCTAATGCAACATACTCGTTCAACAGTTAATGGTGCCACGTGTTGTCCCACGTAAATCCTCCCACTTTTCTCACGTTTTGATAGGATGACCCCCATTCCTCAAGCTGTTGGTTGTGCCCACGTTTACCGTTGAGCGGCTTCCATAGAGGGCCTCATGGTGGTTGAAGACCTCATGGTGGTTGACAGTCTATGTAAATGTAGGGGGCCTCATGGTGGTCGATGGCCTCATTGTGGTAGACAACCATGTGAACGTAGAGGGCCTCATGGTGTTAGGCGGCCTCATGGGAGTCGATAGCTTCATGGTGGTAGGCGGCCTCATCGTGGTAGACGGCCTATGTGAATGTACAGGCCCTCATAATGGTATGCGACCTCATAGTAATAGGCGGCCTATGTGAACGTAGAGGGCTCATGGTGGTAGGCGGCTTATAGTGGTAGCGGCCTCACAGGTATCGACGACCTCATAGTGGTAGGCGACCTCATGGGGATCAACGACCTATGTGAATGTAGAGGGCCTCACAGGTGTCTACCATGGGCCTCATATTGGTAGGCAACTTCATGGTGGTAGGCGGCCTCGTGGTGGTCGACGACCTCATAGTGATAGACGGCCTATATGAACATATAAGGCCTCATGGGGGTCGACGACCTATGTGAACGTAAAGGATCTCATAGTGGTAGACAGGGCAGACGCCATCACGTGGTGCTCTACGTGAAGTGCATATCAAGTAGTTCTCATCTCACTGGCCATCGTGGATAATTATTAATGCCATCATGTATCAACAATGATATGTAATACTCACCGATCACAAATTTTAATTTACCCAAGAATAGGACGGGTAAAATGATCTTTGTGTAATTGCATTGCCCAAATGATTTTTTACCTTCTTTCCATCTCAATTTGGTACCTCTCTCACAGTCGCATGACAGGTGATGGGTGTGAACTTTATTTCTAATTAGATAAATTAATTTTGGGAAAAAAGATGGAGAGCGTGGGTTGGAAAATACAGTTTTAAAGGTTTGAGATCGTGGATAAAAAAATTTGAATATAATTTATAAAAGAATAAAAAGTTTGGATAGTAAGTTTTCAATCTTTACTTTTTAATTTTGATATTTTTACCCTTTTTAACGGAAAATGATAAGGAAGTTTTTGCACAAAAAATTTCAAATAGGGAAGTTTTTGCGATTTTCAACAGTACAAGGTTTTTGCGATTTTTCCTGCTATTAATCCAAACTTGAACAAAAAAACGTGCATACTCAAGATTTTGCTCCAATAATTCACCATCTCCGCTATCACACTCTCATGTCATCCACGCTGAGGTTTCCACTACCGTCGTCTATTATCAATCATGCCCCTCCTTCTCGCCTGGTATAACTCCTCCGCCGCTTTACTTTTATTCAGTAAAAATTCGGAAAATGTGATTGGTTAGATACTTGAATTAAAAGCTAATAAATATAATTTGCTGTTTTTCATTTTTGGTGAAAGGCAAGCACTCGATTTGGCAGAATGCTGAATGTGCAATTCTTTGCGAAAAGACACCTGCTTCGGTTATGCCCTGTTAGTACCAATAATAGCGTGAGTTTTTCTTTTCTTCTTTGGTTAATTGGATTTGGACTTATCTGATTTTTTTTTTGGTGTTGATGGGTTTACTTTATATTATTTGAAATGCCAATAATTAAGTCTCGTAGATGAAAATTGAAATGAACATTATATTGTCGTTCAAAATGTTGTGTAACTGCAATGATGCATTCGAAATTGTAGATTGACTGCATTTTATTCAAGAAACATAGGCGGTCAATTTTCCAATGTTTTGCCTTTTCACTGATCAGTAATTATATGGAGTCTCCATTGCCATTTAAATCTTGAAATGTCTATAATGGTTTGTTTGATGTTATTTTGCTGAAGAAGTTCACATGGTTCTTAAGCATTTCTCCTATAAGATAGAAAATATTTCGAATGTTCATTTGCGAAACAATTTGAAATATAAATGAAACCAAACTGAAAAGTATTCCATTAGATTTTCGAGGCTTGAATGGAGAACCATTGCAAGAATTTGCATTTAACCATAACGAATTCTGAAACGTTTTACCATGGCACTAAGGAGAACGTTATCGACAGGGAAAACATATTGGGTGATATTTAGAAACAGACTATTTTGATGTCTAAACATTGTTTCTTGAATCTTTATATAGTTCAGTTTCTATAGCACACTTATCTGTCTGCAGAGCCCAACTTCATTGTTCTACTAAATCTATTGAAATCTCATGTAATATACTTTTTCTAGAGACATCATGTGCAATGAGCTCATCGCTGGGGAAGTTCTTTTTTCCTGGTTTTGCATTTTTTCCAATTGGTGGCACCAGACCCCAAATATTTCCTTAAATTGAGTATATTAATATGCATAGACCAATATTTGCAAATCAACAATCTCACCCCAACCCTTGCCCTGTGCACATTCTCTGGCTTCCAACTTCTGGTGTTGAAGAAAGACACCCAACAAATACTCTTTTTGGTTTACAAGATGCTTGCTGTTACCCTCCACTTTCGAGGGTTCTTTACGTGGTATTTGATCAATTGGAATTATATGATAATTTCAAAGCATGATACACATAATCAGCGCAACATGCAATCTAGTGTGATAGAATTAAATTAATCAACTGATGTTTACTTTACAAACTTTGTTCAGAATCACATTTGTATTAATCTACTTCTGGTCCTTAAATGTTACCTCTTGTATTATTTGGGGAATTTCTAAGCATCTATGCATTCTAATATATCTATTGGTTCAAGGGCAGGTCCATGAATCAGCAGATAAAGATAAGAGCTCCGTGGAGAAGCCAGGTATTTATTTATATATTATTATTATTATGGAAAAAAAAATTGAGTTGTGCTTATCATTTATATTTTCTTAATAAATAAACTAACTGACGGTTCCTGAAAATTGTCAAATTTATGTCTTAGGTTTGACAGGAAATGATGATAGTCATCAAGCACTCTCACCTAACGAGTACTTACTACTTGCCTTGCAAAGTTTTCTATCTTACTACTTTCCTTGTGGTGTGGTGAGTTGATCTGGTATTTGTATAAATTATTTTTGTTTGCTGGACTTTACAGGATTATGAAGAGATTGAAGAGATATGGTACCTCGGGAATATTGTCTTACGGCCTGCTAAACACTGTTTACTATCTTATTACTTTCCTTGTGGTGTGGTGAGTGTTTAAGTCTGTCGTCGAAAACAATAAGAAAACGCAGTTGCTTACATCTTGAAACGAGATTCTTAGAAGGAATCATTATATTGACATTTTGATTTATAGGTTTTATGTCAGTCCGCCGCCTGCGAGGATGGGTTATTTAGCTGCCGTTGAAAGGTACAATTTTACTTGCAATTGTTGTCGAGGATTCAAGTAACTTGAAACCCTAATTTGCAGGTTTCTCAAAGTAATGGCCATGGTGTGGGCTGGGAGCCAAGTGACTAAGCTCGTTAGGGCTGGAGGGTAAGCTGCCTAACCACTGTTTTACATTCTCTATAGGGTTGACAGTTCAATTTATCATGCTTATAGCATCTCTTTCTCCACCCCCTGCCAATAATACATGTATAAATGAACGAACGTGAAGTATTCGGGCAGTTTGGTTTCTGTATGGTTCCTTTAAGCTTTTTCTAGTTCAAATATTTTCTGAAGTTCCACATAACAAAATTATCTTCTGGATTAAAGCTACTACGCCGGTATGCCCAACGGTTGATGTAGGTTATACACTGAATAGATACATGCATTTGCATCTCTTGAAATTTGATCACTTGCTAGAAAATTGACTCTGGGGGATTCTTCACGGTAGGGCTTTGGCACTTGCTCCTCTTGTTGACAGAGGATTATCGTGGTTCACCGTCAAGTTCAACTTCGAGTCCCAAGGGAAGGTATGGGAACCATAAATTTATAGGTTCTTCAGGCCGATATGTTTATTATTAATAATATTGTATTACCGTTTCTCCAGGCATTCGTGGCAATTGCTGGATTGTGTTTTGGCTTGGCAATTATGCTATTTCTTGTGGTGACCTTACTTTGTGCATAAACCTTTTCATTTTCCCCTTCTTATGTTGTTTCTGCCATCGTTTTCTGCAATAGTTCATTCTAAAAGCTTGTATTGTACATCGAACAAACGTTCTAATTGCATCACATTTATTGTTGATAGATTTGGGTTAATTTTGTTTCGACACAAAAATTCGGATGATTTCTAATGTTCCGGAAATCTAGATAAATTTAACCTGTATAAGGTCTGGATTTAGGCGAGACTGATATGTAATTAAACTTTTTAAAGGTCATTTGGGATCTATATTAAGATTGTAGATAAGTTAACAATCTTTGGACCCTCGTGTCCAAAGATAGCAGGATTAGTAACATAGATGAGAAACGGCCTGTGTGGCTAGACTAGCCACATGGTCCGGCCCCCCCAAAATGGGGCTCGGCCCTAACCTCGGCTCGGTGGAATCGAACCCGAGCAGGGCCCGACTCGACTTTTTCCAAGCCGAGCTCGAGCCGACGAGTTTTTTTGTCATCCCTACATCAGCATCACCACCACCCATATCTTGACCCTGGGACTAGATTGCACTCATATCCATAATTTCTTACCTGATCAAAAACCATAAAACCTTTCAATTGCTAAAAAGTCGGCAACTTTTTTTGTAAAAAATATATGCGATATTGATTTTTTTTTTTTAAAAGCAAAAAATACGTGACTGAAGAAGAAAGTGGTTGATTATTCTACAATTTGATTTCCGGGAAATATGGATTCTAGACCTTCGTTGAAACCTAGAAATAAAATAGTCCGTCCGTGGCACTCATACAAGCTAACTTTCCCTATTTTCTTGTCACAATTATATAGTCCCCTTTTTTTATTGAAAATATTTTATTTTGTTCGTTTACTAATATATCATTATTTAATTTGCTTAATTATAACTAATTTACTACTAGTTGTAGCTAACTTTCCCTATTTTCTTGTCACAATTATATAGTCCCCTTTTTTTATTGAAAATATTTTATTTTGTTCGTTTACTAATATATCATTATTTAATTTGCTTAATTATAACTAATTTACTACTAGTTGTTGATAATTAAATAAGAATAAACTAGGAAAGTTTTTGACAAAAATTACTTTTTCAATAATATTAAATAAAATTCTTAATTCGTGTGAAAAACAAAATCAGCCTATATAAATGGAACGAAAAGTGTAGTTTTTTTGTGGGTTTTAGCTTCGTTTATAATGATTCAATCAATTAAACTTTGGGTTAATTGCTTGAATGGTCACTGAACTTTATCAAGTGTTACTACTTAATGGTTAAACTTAAAAATATATCTCAATATTTACTGAATTTCGTCAAGTGTTACTACTTCATAATTGAACTTAAAAAGTATATACAATTGTCACTGAACTATTCATCGTGTTACTTATCTATCACTCAAATGAAAAATCCATTAGGTTCAATAAACGACATCAACTTGAGTGATAGATGTGTAACACGATGCATAGTTCAGTAACCATTGAGATACATATTTAAGTTCAGTTATAAAGTATTAACACTTAACAAAGTTCAGCGACTATTGAGATACATTAACTTCAGTTGTTTAGTGGTAACAATTTCTTTTTCTCTCAAATCGATCTCCGTGAAAGAAAAATTAAAGAAATGAGGGGAACAAAGATGAAAAATCAAATTGACCTCAATTACTTCGACACTAATTCGACCATTTTTATACTTTTGTGTAATTTTTTCTGTCAATTTCTCTCTTTCAATCTTTTTATGTGAAATTCGAGATACGGTGAACTGATACTGGTTGATCCAAAAATCAAACTTCCTTTTGGACAGTTGCCAATGAAGGGGATATGCTAGTAAAGGATTTAATGACTCCGCAAATCATTCAGAGCCAATTTAACCTCTGTTTGGTAGGCATTTTTGTGGAGAGAATGCATTTTTGTTGTTGATGTAATGAAAAATATGTGGTTGAAAAAGAAGGAAAAGTTATTGATGTGATGAAAAATATTATTTTATTGAAAAATGTGTGGTTGAAAATGATTAGAAGAATGAGAATGAAAAATATAATATGGCTCAAACAGTGGCTTAGCATCGTATATCTTTCATTTGGGCTGCAAAACTTTCAGTTGAAGACTATTGTCATCCATTTATTTCAAAATGGATATCAGAAAAAGTTCTACTTTTATTCGATTTATAGGTCTCTGATTTTCTGTTTCCTCTTTTTTCCCTTCATTTTCTTTAATTTCTTCTTTCATAGAGGTCGATTTAAGGGACTTAGTAATTGAATTTAAAAATGTATTTCAGTGATCGCTGACCTATGTCAAATGTTACTACTTAATAATTAAACTTAAAAATGTATCTCAATTATCATCGAACTTCGCCGAGTGTTACTATTTCATAACTGAATTTAAAAGTGTATTACAGTGGTAACTTAACTATTCACCATGATATCCATCCATTATTCAAGTCAATGTCGTCTATTGAACCTACCGGGTTTTTTTCACTTTAGTAATGGATGAGTAAGACTGTACATAGTTCAATCATCATTTGGATGCATTTTTAAGTTTAGTGATGAAGTAGTAACACTTAGTGAAGTCCGTTAATCATTAAGATATATTTTTAAATTCAATTATTAAGTAATAACACTTTGCAAAATTCAGTAACCATTTTAAGTAATGATCATGGGAGTGGGACCCATGTGAATAAAAAAGGTCAAAACAATCGTATGTCCCCTATTGTAAGAGGTCTATAACAGGATTGTAAATCAATTGTATGGACAGTGTATATTTACAGATTATCTCGAGAGGCAAATTTTTACCAAATTATAATGAAAAATGTGAACTTACAGGGGTTCCAGCCTTTGTCGACTGCTTTCTCACAAATCAATTAGGGCCTTCTTGGGAGTTTTAACTTCATCGATTTTGGATGACACCGTTTATGAGGAGTTGAAAGAATCAGTGCTTGCTAGATTTTTTGGTTATCGATTTTGGATGGTTTAAAAATCACCCAAAAACGATGAAATGTAATTTTGACTGATTTTCTCAATCAAACCAAATCGAAAATTTTTAGTCGTTTGTCAAATCTCTTCTAATTTTACCCTTTATAAAATAATTATTTTCAACAAAAAATATTTTGTTTAATACTAACTTATAAATAAAAATACACTAACTAAAAAAAATTTTTAAACAAAAAAATTATATTATAATTAAAAAGATTACTTATAAGTAAAATATTACTTATAAGATAAAAATCATTTTTTGTGTAAAAATATTAACAAAAAAAATGACTTATAAAATATAAAAAAATTATTTATAAGTAAAAAAATTCGCTTGAGCGTAAAAATTATTTAAAAGTACAAAATTAACTTATAATTATAACGTTTGTATATAACTAAGAAATAATAACATCAATTTCAAGTAAATAATTAACCTTTCAAGTTAAATATTAACTTATATGTAAAAAAATTACATACAAGTAAAATATTGCTTCTAAGTAAAAAATTTCATACAAGAAGCCATAAACTCAAAATTTCATGAAGGGGCATAAATTTACTTGTTAAAAACACTTTCAGAACCGACAAATAATAAACTCTCAAGCATGGATTGGATTATTTTAAAAACCGCTACTAAAACAATTCACAACCTATCCGCTCATAAATGTTGAAAATCGGTACTTTAAAAAACACCCATAACTGATACACTGGAGATTGACAAATATTGCAGCTGGACTGACTACAAATTACTGTTATAACTCGAATTTTTTATTAAAATACGGGAAGAATGGCGCCCAAACATGTGCCTGATATATTGGATTAATCCATTTGTATGTTTTTCATTGGCATCCTGGATGACATCCTTTACGCATAAAAAATTTGGTCATTGGAAAGAATGTCGTTAAAATTAATGTACAAAAAGCTGTCAATTCTCACAATATCTTCCATAATTTCAAAAGTACACGAGCAAAACTCATATATATTTTATCATAACCATTATTTAACTGTTTTTAAGATGTCCTTTATTTTTATTTCTTAACATGACAAATTGACAATGACATATAAAGATGGTAAATCATCCCGAATTTCATAACAATTATCTATCTCCTAAATATGTGACCATTCAATTTAAATGTAATTTGAATAGATTAAGAATTAGAGTATTTAAATGTGATTTATGAAATTCAATCATTGTACATTAAAAACAGAGAATGAGTTTGACTCTCTAAATTTGGAGAGTAGAACACATTCTCTATTTTAAAAAGTTCAATTTATCATGCTTTTATCATCTGTCTGTCGCCAACACCTCTTTTAAGAATATATATAAAAGCAAGCAAGAATTCAGACAGTTTGGTTTAACGGAAAGTGCAAATGCATTCTTTTGGTGTTAAGAATATTTAAGTTTAACCTATGTGAATTTAGGTTTGCATTTTAACCAAGCCTTGAATGGGTGAGCAGCAACCCAAAAAAGGTTCATGGACTTGACGTCAAAGATTTTGGGGTACTTGACCCGCATGGTCAGAGCCAGCACACTCTGTCCACTAATGCAGAGTCTCATCATGGTGTCATTTAGGGCCATGAGCATAGGAAATGGGCAGGGCTAGACTGAGGTGGGTCATATGGGAAAGGAGAACAAATTTTTCATTTTTTTCCTATTTTTTATTTGTTTTAACATATATTTTAAGTTATGATTTTTTGTTGTTTTATTTCAATATTTGGTTCATAATAAATGTATAATAGTCATTTTAAAGAAATTTTGACGTTTAACAGTCAAACTAACGGATTCCATCACATATGATCCACACATAGTTGAATAGGTTGGGGAGGCAAAAGATTTGTTTCAAAGGTTGGAAAGCAGATTCTGCCCTTCAAGAAATGTTAAAAGAGCCCAGCAATAATATGTAAATGAATTCAAATATTTCTACAAAATAATGCCATATCTATTCAGATATCCAATCTAATATTGTTGGATTTCATCCAATTACCTTATGCAGTGAAGAAAAAAGGTTCAACCATAAAGGAGCCTTGAGCAGTAGTTAAAAGAAACATTAC